CGAAACGTCACACACGACATGACGTCACCCGAAGACGTCATCAAAAAGTCCAGCTCTTAGGCGTGTCCGAAATAAATCGTAAATTAAATAATATTCGATGATAAGTATCATATTCTAGTGACACATTTTCATAAAATAAGGCATAAACTTTGCAAGGAAGTCAACATTGGATAATTGGATTCTTATTTTGCTCACATATCCTTGTAGTAGTCAAATGGCTCAATTGTTAGATAGATGTAAGTATATGTTTTGGCTTGATGTTTGCTGTGAAACCACCCAGCCACTTGCAGGTTGAGTGATTTTCTGATAATTACCTGATAATCATTTCTCCTTTTCCTTAAAAGAAACTAAAATTCCTTTCAAAGTAATCCATTTTAAGGAATGGCGGCTTGCTCATTGGCATTTCATGTTCTTGTTTTGTTATTGCTGGCAGTATTTTGATACAATAATGCAATATGAATTTTTTGCAATAATAAAACCTAAGACAAACTCAGTTAATGCGTCAATCAAACACCCAACAGAAAGATTGTGAGTCCTTGTAATGTGAAGCATAATATTCTATGAATGTGTTATATAGAATATGCCAAATATTAAATTAATTATTATTTGATACTGATAGCTGAGCAGGTGAATTATGCCACAATATAATTTCATTTTCTGGTTTTGAAATAGCCGGCAGTATTTTACTTCAACAAATGTAATATACATGGAATACATGTTGTTATGTTACCTATGTTAAAAGTTTAATAACAGCCAACAGAAGGAGCTGTTTCAGCAGATAATGTTTGTACCTTATGCATTACCTTTCTTTTCTGCAGGGCCATGCTTCCGCTGGGTGGTCGACATTTGCCTCCTGAAGAAGTTGAGCAACATGAAGACCACCAGATGAGGTGTCTGCAGTTCATGTGGAACTCTGCAGACTACAAGTGTTATGCCAACCACAACCAAAGTGCTGTGATCATGGAGGCATGAACCTCATGACAACACTTCAGATTTGCAGTTGAACCAAAGTGTGATTCAAACCACCTGTGGCATCTCACTCAATGTGTGAACAGTGTGATTATTGTGCAGTGTTCAGCTGCAACTAAGACATTTTTTAGTGACTTGTTTGCAATTAGCCACCAAAAGCATTTTTGGGCTGGCTGCTGTAATTTGTTGTGCACACTGCACTGCACAATAGTGGTAGTGTTTTGTCACTTGTCAAGTTGTCAGTTGTGCATGTTGCATGTTTCTCTTCCCTCGGCCCTCATTATCAGTTAAGTGGTGAATTGGCATCACTCAGTCTCCCCAGATCTCCATTAGGCATTAACTGTCTGTCAACCACCTAACTTGAGATGGTATTTGCTAATAGTGTCAGAAAAGAAGTGATTGTAGACATTTTTAGGAATATGAGCTCCGTTTCATGCGTGTTCCAGTGGTCATTTTGTCACATGTCCCATAGTGTAATAAATGGAAACTGTTGTTCCCTTTTGAAGGTACTCGCGGATGCAGAAAGCGTTGGGCCTAATTATTAAACGCACCCTCCTATCAGCGACGCACGAAATCGACAAATATCATCCTTTTTAGAACAGGAGGAAACGAAAACTTGTGAACATAGCTGTACCTACAACAGTGCATAAGGAATTGAAATTCTGGGAGTTTTTGAAATTCGGAGAAACTCAAGTTGTCGACAGGTATGCCCCCGCCCCCCTTGCACGTCAAAGACCGCCTAAAAAACAAACGCCTACAAATGAAGGCATTATTCGTATGTTCGTTGTAATTGCAGCAGCCTGGCAACATGTATTGCGGTCCGATGGCGAATTACACTCGTGCTCAAAAACTGCCGGTAACTGCCAATGCACTTAGGTCATAGGTGAGGAGAGGAAGGGTTATGTCATATATCAACATCATAGAAATGGCTTCATCTGAGCTGTGCCTATTGTACATAATTCAACCAATATGTGCATTTCGTTTCTTGCAATCTACTCATGCTTTCACTCCAGCTTCAGAGTAATCATCCCATATGGTACGTCTTAAGATATTGATTTCTATGGCGGTTTGCAATTACTAGCCACGTCTCACCTCAGTTTGGTGGCCCCGCATCGGCCCACTCGGCCGCTCTAAAATTGACTTACGGAGGAGGATGGTGGCTTTTATTTTAGCTTCTCCGCCGACTGCGGGGAGCGCCGTCGCCGAGGTAGGAGCAATAATTAGCTTATGTTTGGGACTTATTTCCACGCTTAATTAACATTTTAATGTTATTTTAATTAATTCATGTTAATCTTTGACGCATTCTCTTTCTATTGATACCATCCACCGGTCTGAGAATTACTGCCTTGCTGCGTAAGGGCCGATAAAAGATCACGCTTTTAGGGGTATCTCTTCAACATGGGGCAGGAGCAATAAATAGAGCGCTCTAATTTTAGCTTATTTCCCTGGTATGTCACCAACTGAGAGGGAAAATTTGCAATCACTGTTTTGTCACAACAGCGCCATAAATGGAACACAAAATTATTCTGTTCAATCAAGTTGTTCTTTGGCGTTCGTAAGCCAAAAATACGTGAATGTCTCATTTCGATTTGCTATCTAGCAGGAAACTCCTAATACTCACTGCTGATAAGAATAAGGAATACTACTGGATTTATTTGTCTTCTTTTTGGTGCCCCAAATAATGCAAGTAGATGAAGAAGATGTCGAATGTCGATGTAGTTTGTTGTTTCATTTTGGAATATTCACCAGCGCACTTGTGAGTGAATGGTTTCTGCACTTGAATATCAAGACATTTTGTGACTTACTGGAGTTTAATTTTAGTTTATGGCTGTCATCAGTTTCAGTTTCTTAGTCTTCATGATGTTGCATCCACGGCAGCATGTCCAAGCGCATTTTGCCGCAACCACAGTGTATTTATATACACTGTGGTTGCATCATGATTGATTTGCATGCGTTGACGTGAGTCATAGGCACCTAATTCATTTCTGATAAACTTCTTATATTGTCCCTTATTTCTTCACAGACAGAGACAGCCAAAATGGTGGCTGCTTTTCCACTGGCCAAGCTTGGCACACTGGTAATCAAACAGGTCAGCAAGCCACTGGCCAATGTCATCAAAGAGCGGGCTAAAAGGAGCTACTTTTTCCGCACCTACGTGTGCATGCCACCTGCACAATGTGAGTATTCATGGAAAATCAATGCATTTCAGTAGTGACAAAAAGATGTCTACAGCTATGGAAATCCAGGTATTTCCAGGCTATGAAGTGCTATTTTATGCCTACCAGTCACTAATCAGTGACATCATCCAGTCAAAAACATGTTTATCAGGGCATGCCATTTTTATCACCTAAATCACATCATTAGCCCTTGACTGGCCTCATCCCTGGTGCTAACTAGAAATTGTTGAACATAATGTGCTGTGACACTTTTGATAGACATTGGAAACTTGCAACAGATTACAGATATAATGTATTCATCCACTGGTCTAATTTTTAATGCCTATTAATTTGTGTAAAATAGTGTTTTATGCATCATTTATCATAGGTATGTGTAATTGTACATCCTCCCAAGCGCCTAAATTAAAGCATTTTATGATAAGTATTTTATGTTCTTATAAACTTTTTATTATGAGTATTTTACTGTTTAATGTTCTTATTGCTGATGTTCCCAGTGTATCATTGGTGTGAGGTACGAACAAAGATGTGGATCATGAACTTGGGGAGGTCCGGAGATATTCCAAAGCTGAATGAAGCAATGGCTATCGATCTTGGGGCCAACATGCTTGGAGAAGGTAAGCCTGAAAAGAAATTGTGTTGTTCATCCATTCCCACTAATCAATGCTGACTCAGCTTCTCAAATAATATGGAATGGTCTACTTCTTCACCCTTTTATTCATTGTATTGCTTTGATAAAATATGATTGCATGAGTTTCATGAAGTTACCAAACACAGCCTTTTGCTATTGTAATGTTCACCACCTCTGAAATCTGCCCAAATGCACACACATGCCTGCAGCTGCGGTGCTCCTTAACCGGTGACTCGCGGTGCTCTCTCACAGGCGTTATTCTGGGTATCGCTACCGGCGTGCTGCTGTACGAATACAACCGTTCAGCAGCCAAAGAGGAGGCCCGCGAGGCCGCCCAGCACGCCCGGCTCCGCTCCCTCGAGACGGCGCTGGACGACCTGCGCTTCACGGCCGAGGAGCAGGACACGCGACTGCGCGAGCTGACGCGCCGGCTGGTGGCGCTCAACCCTCCGCCGGTGCCCCCACCGGCCCCCGCGGCGCCCGCCGGGACCACACCCCAGCAGCAGGGCGGAGAGGGCCGGCTGCAGACGGCGATAAAGGACGCGACGGGACGACTACGGGGCAGCTGAGAGGGCGAGCTGTGGGGAGGTGTGTGTGTAGCTGTAAATGTTATGGCTTCCTGTGAACGTTACCGTTGTGTGGCATAATTCGCGCTGAGAGCTGCAGCCCTGGTGTCGCCGGCGTCGTGGCGACTACACTGTGCTTTTTGTACCTGCTGGGATAAGTGAAACAATGCCCTTAGAGCGAGACCCCATCACGGCACTCGAGATGCTCTGACAGTCATGAATCATTGACATTTAGAATTTCCTGTGTAAGTCTCCAGAGATGCTCGCAGCTCGTGATCTATATTTAGGCTCGGTTGTTCGTACCTCATTATCCACATGTCTGTTGGAGCAATGCTCGATAACGTTACCACTGGGCCAGTTTGCGCTGTTTTGTTTGTGCTCCGATGTGGCTGGCTCCCAATACGCCCACCGGTTCAGGTACCGTTCCGGTGGGTGGGCTCGGTCTGCCCTCTGTGAGCCGCGGAGGGTTGGGTTATTTGGCGATCCCCGTGTCGGATGTGACAATCCTTGCAATGGTGCAATACAGGGAGAGGGACGGTGGTAAGATAACAGGTGCTGTGTGTGGGATATCACGGAAGGAAATGACTAGTTTTTTTTTTATATTTTGAGAGAACAAGTTGGACTTCACTGTATAATTATGTTGATAAATCACTTTGACGATTATCGCTGGTCAGATTTTATTGACAGCGCTCTAAAACAGATACGTGTAACATCAACAGGCAACAGTTGGAGCGGAGCGACATCCGATGAAAGCATCACTTCCACACGTTCGATATGAGGCGACATTACAGCTGCGGTGATGCAAACGAGGAACATCGGCGACGCTGAGTCGCAACCGATCCGTGGAAGTGACAACATATCACGATAAAGTAACTCAATTTGGCGAGTCGTCTTGACTAAGGGCGACACGTAACTCTCATGCTCTCGCAGCGGAGAGCTCGCGCCGTCTCAGATAGTCCCTTCCTCTCTGCCACCTGGTGATCATGTAACGAACCTGTCGATCGTTTCTTTTCCGCTAGGCGGCAGCACATGATGGCAACACTAACGTCCGTTCGCCATCATGGCGCAGCTCTCCGCCAAACGTTTGATTGACTATCACTGGCGGGAACGATCGACCCGGAGACAAGCCGAAGCACCGCGCCAATCTCGTGCGCCAAGCTCGTCACGAGGTGCGCCGGGCTCGTCACGAGCCGCACGTGACGTGACGTGACGTGTGACGGCGGGTGTCGCGCACGCTCAGATAATCTTGATGGTGACGTTGCTGAAGAGCGCTCCGAGGCAGAGTCCGACGCCGAGGAAGGCCGCCATCATGGAGCTGGCCGTGTTCTGCTCCTCCGGCTCCACACACCTGCCGGACGAGACGAAAGAATGGGTCAGGACTGGAGGTCACACAGCTAAGGTGGCAGGTCTAGGGACGGAGTCACCAGACTTGCAGAACGAGACGAGACAATGGTCAGGACCGGGGTCACACACTTGCCGAACGAGGGACCGGGTCACAGTCTCACAGCTGAGGACCAATGCGGAGCGACCACTGTAATTCACCTGCCGAACGAGGCGGGGACAGAGGTACGCTGGGTCACGACCGAATCACACTTCTGCCAACCCAGGAAAAGGGACCGCGTCACACATATGGGCCGAGCCAGGGAACCGAGTGCCACGGCTATCAACGGAGAGGCGAAGGCACGGGATTCTATAGTATCTAAACTCACCCAGGTCCGTAGATCATACAGAGCGTGGCCAGGTAGCCGTTACTGAGGCCGAAGAACGTCATGAAGATGATGTAGTATGCGTCGTGGTTGAAGACGGTCGTCAGGTTCTTGTGGTCGATGTGGCAGTACATGAAGAGTGGCACGAACACCACACGTAGGGCCACCAGCAGTAGTACAAAGTACCAGTGGTGCTTCTTCGGCTGCGGATCGGAGACAAAACGGTCATTAACGATACGAGAGTAACAGGGGTGGCGTATGCGTAGTTTGAAAGCAGACTTCGATTGACAGCTATTTGCTCTATCACTAGGCCATCCCATGTTGGCTGGTTATTTATTCATTTATTTATTTTCTATCATCCGGTCAATCCGCAATAATTAAGCTACTCATAGGCCGTTGTCATACAAGATATAAGGCACTCGCATCACACATTGTAAATCATATCACGGACGCGAGTCGGAAAACGAAAACGAAGTGACTTTTATACCGTTGCTAAGAACAAATTTATTGTAAAGCCTGGCCGAAAAAGTTATATTAAATACTGCACACCGAGGGTTCGCCGCCCGTCAGAGTGTGTATCCACCGGCACTTCGCCGGATGTCAGCGGGCATATTTAGGACGTCTGGGTGCTTTCACAGACTTACCCAGACTGTGTATCCGCCGGCGATTCTGCCCAGGTAGTCGGTCAGATTGAATAGCAGGAAGCAGCACACCGGTACGAAGTAATCACCTGAAACAAGGAAGAGCAATGACCATGCGATCAGTAGGAGCAGCATGGTGTACGTGTAGAAATTTGAGTAAACAAGACGATCGACATTGACGAGTCCGGACTTATTTTTATGCACATCGTTTTTGAACCGATGTTACACGCTGCTAAGTGCTACAGAATGTAATTAATTACGTTAAAATTAAATCCCTCCCATAATACAAAAACGGCATTTTGTTGGCCGCAGGTTGCAGCACATGCATAGAGCTTCCCACATAACATCGAACCACCGCAGAGTGCCAGTTTTATAGGACCGGTGGGCTAATCCCGCGTCTCCTCGGTGGATAGAGGCGTCACTCACGTGCCCAGATGGAAGGGTGCTCCTTTGTTCCGGTGTACATGGGTCGAATCTTGGCAGTGATGGCCGGGAACATGGCCAGGGTGACCACAAACACGAGACAAACGGACAGGGCGTACCACTTGATCTGGGGACACGGCAGGAGGGAGCATGGGTCACATTCTTGAGGGCCTGGGATACCGTGAAAAACATTCACGGGATAAAATGAAATTTATGATGTGTGCTCCGTGATATTGAAGTATGTGCATAGCACACATAGTAGATTATTAGTTATCAGTAAATCGATGAGTATCTGGCGCGCTTATAAATGGTAATTGCTGAAAACGGATATTCACAACTCATTTTTTTAGCACATCAACATTCCTATAGCTACAATGCATGGGTGAATGCGTCATACGGTGCACACGAACTCGACAGCTGCTCTTTGACCTATATCTGCACTATGAACCCGCCATGTGCACCTCAATATGGACCTTCTACGCCCGCGCTCGGCCCCTGACGCCGTCGGAGGCACGCGCAGCAGACGCTCACCTTCAGAAAAACTTTCCAGACGTTGATGGAGGGTTTCTTGCCGGACAAAGCTGTGGTGATGGTGGCGCCCTCCTTGCCAGAGCTGGTGCCGTGCGACGACGTGTAGAACTGGTAGAACGCCTGCGGGGGCACGGACGGTACCCACATCAGTTAGAGACGGTACATACACGTACCCAGACGGTGCGCATGTCAGTTGTAAACGAAAAACGAACGGTGCCCTTTTTCCATTTGGAAACGGTAGGCGAAAGGCAGCTACGTCGGTCTGAGATGACTGCGTTGAATTCGGAGGGACAGTGTTGAGGTGTGTTGCAATTCTCCTAAATTTGCAACTAGAGTGATGATGTGTTTGTGACTGAATTTCTGAGACTCATGATCTCTAGACATTGGTGGTATCCTGAATACCCGGAGGCACTCAGTTTGTAATACGTTGGGACTTTCTCTGGCTAATGGGCGCAATGAAAGGTTCACAGAAAGCGGGCTGCATCTGCTGTCTGCTCAGAATAGAATTAGCCATGTTTGGCTGCAGCTTCATCACGGCTTATGAGACTTGTGATGCGCTGAATGAATCGCGTTGACTGACACCGTGAGGTCAGCCACGAACACCCTACCCTTAGGCGGTAGGGCAGAGGCCTCTCCAAAGCGTCCTGCTCCCAGCGTCTCGGTCTTATCAAGGTTGTGACCCGTGTCCATCGTTCGTGCCCGCCTGCAGTCCGATCGGGCAGCGAGCCCTATTCAGTCGCCACAATTGGAGAGCACTGGAGCCAATCGAAGCACCGTGTTCCGGCGACCGCAACTAGAACGTCAATCCAGTGCATCTGACATGCTTGACAGCAGAGTAATAGAACGTCCCCGTTGCATGAAGTCCTCAAGTGGTTGCTTCCTACACGAGTTAGGCTATACGGATGTGCAAGCAGAAAATAAATGATGCTAATAACCTCCAAAACAACTCAATAATCAGTCAAAGTAGGCAGTAGCACGCTTGGCTTGGTTAGCATTTCATCGCTAGGTCGACGAAAGGTTCATCGAAAGTTCGACAAGCTTCCTATCTGAAATCATAGCCCCAACGTCCCCGATGGTTCCCAAGTAGCCTGCTGTGACCTCCGATCTTCCCGTGACGTCACTGCTCACCGTTTTGGTCATCCAGAGGAAGGCCACCATTGATATAAGCAGGGTAATATCGGCCAGAGTAAAGTACACCAGTGCAGAGTTGACGGCCGCTGCTACCGCGTCCTCCCCGGCCACCGCGATCGACACGATCCTGGCGGATGGAAATGGTACTAATCAGCTAATCAGAGCACATTTATAACATTTATAACACAAATTTATAACAGAGCACACAATAAGATGACATTTATTTGGGTAAGGACAGGGATAGTCATGTGCCTTATACGTCAGATGTCAAATCTAATTAGCTGAGACTCGGAAATTCACTTTGAGAAACATCGGTTGAGCGACATAATCCAGAGGAACAATTACCATTATGAACATATAACAACATTCTACTCAATATCCATTGATTTCTGATAAAAACCGCTCAAGCCACTGTAGCACCCCACCTGCAGAGGCAGGCGAACACGGCTCCGAGCGCCTGGCCGGAGAGCACAGCCGACAGGTACTTGGAGGGGAACTGAGCCGACAGACCGAACAGACCGCCCTGGAACACGGCCGCGCCCACTGCAACACGGGTTAACGCATGGTCAGAACTAGATACAGTCAGGGTATGCAACGCGCTTTGATTCATTTATGTTTAATGGCGTAAATAACGTCGTCCGTCGATGCGTTAGGATACGACCAAGTCGTATACTATGGGTACGACTATTTATGTTTCTTTGGACTAGGCATCTCGTCCAAAGAAACTTAATTGACTTGTCCTGACGGCTCACGCAAACCAAATTAGTCTATGGATGGACCTGACATTCACAGATCACCCGCCGTTTCCAAGCCCCGTGATCTCACCGTTGAGAGTGACGACTACGACCATCGTCAGCGCGAAGAAGGAGTACTGCCAGCTGTCCGAGTTGATGGGCACCAGGATCGTGGTGAAGATGAAGAACACAATGACAATGCTCAGCGCCACAACCAACTTCAGCTGCTGGTTTATCCTGCAGCAAAAACAACCATATTGTGTCAATCCAGAGACGACAACGATCAATAGACGTGCCGATGCGATCGACCATTGCACTGGCAGCCCGAGTCAAAGCGATCGCATCCGTTTCAGCACGTCGCTTATCAAAGTACCTACTTATTATTTTTCTTCTTTAAAACGCTGATGCTGCCTGTATTCACAGCATTCCAAAGCCCCATTGGGCAGTGACTCCACCCTTATCCAGAATATGATGCAAGCCTGCCATGCTGAGCATCCGGGATCAATACACATGTGAAATGAAGCGTGTCTGGAACATGATAAGCCGCTGTCCGAGGTATCTCACACGGTCCGAATTCGGAATTTAGCTCGAATTATGCTTCCGTGCAGCGTAGTGGGTCGTGCCGGCGGCGCCATGGGCGGACGAGCGCCGATTGGTCCGTTCTCGAACACACCCCCTGCTCTCATTGGTCGTCGGCTGCGTCACACCCACCACCTGACCGCGATGATCTTCAGCACGCGCGCTGGTCACCTTCAGCCGTCCCATTGATTTTCCCCGCCTCGGTCCGCACGGGTTCAACCTCTCCCCATATGTTGCAACAGTCTGTAGCCAGCCGGCGTGGCGCCATGGACGACAACCACGATCTGCACCAGATGTTTAAGGCCTAAAATGTATAGGCATCGAATTGCCGCTGAGAACCCAGTAAACTAATTACCAAAAGCAGCTGACATTGCTGTTCCGTACTGACAATGCAGCTAAGCAGGGAATCTACGCATATGCTGAACGTTTTACTTGTATACGTATCTGAGAAAATACGTCTCATAACCGATTGGGCAGTGCAGTTAATATGTAGAAGCATATAAAATTCGATATTCGAAGTTCCCGGCTTCATCATAGCACGTGTTACAGCCGTAAGAAGATTTGGGTCTGCGACTTGTCTACCTGCAATCGGTCAACGGGAAAATAGGGATTTCGGTTCCGGGTTGGTTCCGGGCGAGCCTCCAGTAGCCTAAAAGTATGACGTGAGGACATTTTATCCTCATCACATTTATTGATCAAATGGGTATCGATGACGAAATGTACATAAACGTCCCATTATTCTAACCAAATTCCGTAACTTATTTCAAGCTGTTATCAATAATTGCACTACGGATAAGAAGGAACCCAAAAGAGGCGCAGGGGCACATATGTCTGGCATCCTTAGCTCCTGCTGCCCCTTCCTCACAAATGCCGCGAGAGAAGGACGAGGTTCTCCTCCTTACACCGCGGAAGACATGCGAATCCGAATCCACAATTGGACAAACTCGCTTACAGGATCGACACAGATTCCACGACCAGTCAAAGCCTCCACCGAAGAGAGGTCTGGCCTTCCAGAGATGTCAGCTGAAAGCTCGGCCATCACCTTTGTCAAAAGTGAGACCTCTTTTAGCCCAGAGGAAGGCGAAGGTGAGTGCAAAGTTATTCTGCCTGCTCGGGACGTATGTCCGGAGCTGGACCAGGTGGTGGCAGCTGTTGTTGCCGCAGATTTCCATCCGATCCCGGATGGTGACTGGGAGAGCGAGAAGGGTCTCGAGGAAGAGGAGGTGACGCTACTTCAGTTGAGGCAAGCCGGAGACGATGAGCTCAATGTTACATCTCTTGAACGTAAGGCAGCACAAACTGTCCTTCTAGTGAAGCCACAAGTAGCTCGTCAATCGTACGAACTTTCTTCCGCGCTGCCATTCAAAAGCAAATCAGTATCGAATCCTCCCTCCTTACCTCATATCCCGGAGCAGCCATCGGAACCTTTACCTATCTCCGTCACAAAACCAACAAGTCTAGAAACACCAGAGGACATGTCTCAGGATATACCAGAGACTCCGGGTTCAACAGAGCAGACGGGTGACAGCCCGACCGACCAGTCTACGCTAATCACAGTCTCAAATTCGTCCGATTCAACATCAGTAGTCGTGTCCCAAGAGATACCAGAGCCTCCATCTTCAGCAGAAGTCATGTCCCAAGAGATACACCAGCCCCCATCTTCAACAGAGGAGCCTCACACCATCGCTGACTTATCGACTGAGTCCCCACTTGAAGCACCTTCAGACAGCATTCCTCCGAAGCTTCCACTTCTGTCTGAGGATCCCACCCAGCCGTCTCCATCTACTGAGCTTCTGGACGCCATCTCCAACCTCTCGGCAGCCCGCGGCGCCACCAAATCCCGCCGCTCTCGTATGACCAGCACGCGCGCACCGACCCCTTGGTCCGCCACCGAGCCAGACGATGACGATGACGCCACTGACGAAGGTCTGGACGAGGAGGAGCAACTGGAGCGTGCCGACTCCTCCGGCAGCAGCTCGCCGTTCGAGAGCGTGGCTGCCACCACGGACTCGTCGTACCATACGCTGCCGACGGCCTCGAGTTCTGTGGAGCGGGCTGACCAGGTGGGAGACCGGCCCGCGGAGCAGGAGATTGTGCAGGCGCGACCGATGGCGGCGGCCGTAGCGGAGGAGAAGACGACGCAGGGAGCGGAGGTAAACGAAATGTCAGGTGGGGGACGGGAGACCCACACAGACACGACAGGGACCAGCGAGACGGAAGGAGCAGAAGAAGATAACTCTACAACGCCAAGAAACACCGCTACACATCCAGCAGCTCCAACAGAACCCGCAAACAGAACACAACCTTCCTCAGGACCAGCTGTAGAGCCGCCTCTCATTTCACTACCTCCACAGCAGGCAGCACACTCATCCGGCACTCCGGCGGGCCGGGAGGCCGCCCCCGGAGGAGCCACCGCCGCCGGTGACCAGCCACCAACTATCACCATCTCTGACGACGTGAGTCTGCGGTATTTCTGCGGTACTTTTCAGCCGGCCGACCACCATATGACACGCTACGCCGGCCTGGAGGGCGCGGCGGCGGCGCCGGAGCCGCGTCCCGTGCCCTCGGGCCGGTCCGACAGCGCGGTAACCCCGCCCGGAGAGGCGGCCGCTGGGAGGGGCCGCAGCGCCGCCTCCGATAGTCGGCTGGGGGTGAGGAGCTCCTCACCCAAACCGCTGACCGGAGAGGACTCGGGTGTGCAGCTGGAGGCGAAACGATCCACCACCAACTTACCCCCGCAGTAGAGCTGACAGTGAGGATAAATGGAAGGGAATCGTGACGGAGAGAGATTTAGGAATGGCAAGAAGGAATACGTAATGAAAAGATTGGTCCAGTGACGAGGCAAGGCTGAGCACAGCGAGAAGAAGCAGAGCAGTTATCAATCGAGAGTGGCGGTGGTTGAATCGGATGATGCATCGCAAAACATTCGAACCTGAAGTGTGCATATCTGGCAGGTTTGTCCTAAGATCTCGTACTATTCAGCAGCTGATCAACGTTAGAACTTCAGAGAGATCTAATGAAAAGAAGAACGGAAGATATTGTGACAATTGCGCCAGCCATATTACTTGACACTGCCTGAAACCCTGTGACGCCGATAGCAGCGTATTGCATGCTGAAAGTCTGCTTATAAGCAGAATATCAGCAATAGCTAGCCCGTATGGTCCATGCAACACGGTAATTTATTCAACGAAATGCGCTTGAAAGTGATCAACATGTACCAGTAGCAATTGACTTAAAACGTTTCGTGAGCAAATACATATAAGTACCTAAAACAGAGCCGATGTCGAACCAAAGCATCACGCTCTTTAATGATGATTGATGATGATGGGTCTGAAACTGCGGCCAAGCGCCGACCACAGTTTTGTTCGGTTTTAGGGGCTGAAAGGGGTCCTATGGTCTGATTTCCTGAACACTACAGCACCATGGGCCCAACAAAACACACATTGAACGGTAGTCATTTACTAACTTGTGCGCGAAGATGGCGTTCAGGGTGAGGAAGGTGGTGTTGGGCAGCATGGAGGCGACTGCCAGGTAGGCGGCAAAGTTGTACTGCAGCTCCGTCTTCGATTCCTCCGCAGTCGAGTTGTTGATGTCCACTGAGGCATTCCGGAACTTGTAGTTCCAGTACTGAAACAGGGCAGAACGAGCAGTCATAGGTCTGTGGTTAATTTGTTCTTTCTTTCTTTCTTTCTTTCTTTCTTTCTTTCTTTCTTTCTTTCTTTTCTCTCTCTCTCTCTCTCTCTCTCTCTCTCTCTCTCTCTCTCTCTCTCTCTCTCTCTCTCTCTCTCTTCATTCCATACAATAATCATTAATCACTACATCTCATACATCTCACTCCATCTCAAAACCTCACCGCAAAAGCCGGGCTGCAACCAGACCTGCAACCAGTGTGGCCCTTCTGCAACCTCAGATCAACACTGGCGCAAAGACAGCAGTCACCACTGATATTGACAGCAATAATGTGCCAGCCATCATACAGCAACAGGTGCTGAGCACTCGTTCGTAGTCTCATCACCCACCCCCGGCGCCCATTAGACCACCTCAAGACAGAAGATTGGCAGGGAGGGTGTTATACCAACATCTCTGTCGGGTAAGCACGGACCACTGGGTCTCCGGGCCTGGACCCGAGCCAACAACGCTAACTGCCAGGCCACGCTGTAGGTCACACCGAAGCGCACTGCTGTAACACTCTTGGGCTAGACGGTCGAGATCAGGCCGGACGTTCCAGAACTGGTGGAAGTGCTAGCTTTACCAGTCCTTGCTAGCTTTATGTGGGTGAGAGAAATGCTCAGGAGAGCCACAACTCTGTCGCGTCACATTTCGAGCAGATGTGCCAACGTGGGGTCTCGTCTCGTGGCACGTGGCATGTTGAAATGGTGCCAGGAATGTGTTGGCACCGAATGCCGAGCACTATCCGGTGCAGACAGGTCAGACTGCTCACCGAACAGTTTCAGAGATAACCCACTGGATCCTACAGTTCAAGAGCAGAGACTCTGCGGTATAGACCGGTAAAAAGTTGTGAGCCGTCTCTGGACATGACATATGCAGTGCTCCGGTGACAGTGGTAAAAAGTAATCGCCCTCCCTCAGAGATGAGCTCGAGGACTCTCAGTGAGCATTAATCAATTATCCAGCCATTAAACTTCTAAGTAGGTCATAAGAGAGTCAATAACTAATCTAAATCAATGAAGGACGTTAAAGACCTCGAGAACAACAAAACCATTGAAGGAATAAATACAGCGCAATTATCTCGTCAATGAGCATCAATGGAATCGACAACGCTTTCACCGAAAACGGCATCAAGTTCAGGCCAGAGCATCAAAGTCATCTGACCAGCGCATAAGAGCTACACAACGAGATGAAAGCTATACAAGGCTCCAGAAAAGCCAGAGCTAACTAGAGTCGCTCGCATCAAAGCTACATTAGGTATATAATTGCGACCAGACCGCCTCAAGGCCCAAGGGCTCCAGATAGTTAGCTGCATTAGATCCAAAACGGAAACCTGATCCACTGAGCTGTGCCCCACTCTGTATCATGTCTCGCTGGCAGCAGTCCACTAAGCGCCGCTTTCCATTCCAATAATCCCCTCATTTCCAGCAATGTTGCACCATGCCTCTCGCGCGTGCTCGGCACTCTCCGGCTAGCTAACCCTAAGCGGCCCCTCATCCAGGAACGGTGTACAAGTATGTGTACTCAGTAACTATCCGTGACTATTTCAAACTAGCATGCTGACGACAGGACACGTGCCCCTGTGTGCGAGGTGTTTATTTTATCGACGGGCATACACGAGAACAAGCGTTGCTAATTACGATAATCTATCAACGCAACTGCATGCAAAGCTATGAAGTCGTGTTCAAAGAAGCGCAATCTAGAAAAACGATTTTAGATAAAAGAAATAATGAATTCCTAAGACATTCTCCGTTGTTTCATGCGCCTGAACTACAATATTCAAATTATTCCAGCCCAGCAGCTGTAGGCCAGTAAGGAACAACGTCCTCTACATCCGTTAAGTGATCACAAACCCCGATATTCAATCCGTCAGGAAGCAGATTTATGACGATAAGACGGGCGTCTGAGCTGAACCGACCAGCCTGACCACAGACCGCCCCGAAGTCCGGGAGACAGACGGAAAAGCAGCAGCTACCGAGGCGCGCCGGACGTATGTAGTCACATGAGATGGGCGTGGCTGGACCGGGTGTAGAACTAGGGGCGTGGTCAGATGGGGAGCGTGCTCGTGCACCGGATACAGTCAGCAAGACAGCGAGCACGCCCACTACTGGACTGATCGCTGATCTAGTAAATATCTTGTAAGATTAGTAGATAAAAAGTTGATTTTTATCACTTTCAATTGATACTATTTTTAAGGTTTGGTAGTTCCTCTGATCTGACGTTCCAATTGATTGGGTAGGTTAGGTATATGATGAACTTACTCTCCCATATATGTCCTGTTTCGAAACTATTTTTTGCCAAAATGTGGTTGTCGACCGCGTCTCGATCTCGACCCACCAATCAGCACGCACCAGCGATCCAGCAATCCACCAATCAGCGGCGGCCGATCCGCTCGTTAGTCGGAGGCGGCCCCAATGGGTGACGGCACGGGTCAGAGGTCACAGACACCCCCGGCTGCCGGGGAAGTCCGTATCGACCCGTGGAGAGCGCCCGGTCCAGGTCAGTGCAGGTCACAGCAGATCGGCGGGGGTTGCGTCAGACGGCCTGTGACGTCAGACGCCGCATCGACCGGTGACGTCATACTAACCGGAATAGACTGTAACCGGAAGATTGCAAACCTAGACTAAAATGCATTGAACAAAAGGTAGCAAGGCACACGGTCTACAGAATCATTTGATGATTGCCAACTAGCTTTATCAACACATTTACTCTTATTATTCACATAAGTCGATTGCGGGTCACTTTCACGCCCCGAATTCATTATAAACCCAAATTCGGATTCTTTCACAACTAAAGAAATGCCACAATGCCAAGGTCAAAAAACACTCCGCTCAGCATACACTATACGCTGGTAATATGGGTGCCGGTGGCTATTCGCCGATTGGCTATTTCCGCGCCTACTTTCAGAGTGCCTGGTGCTAGCCCACCAGATGGGACCAGTCAATGGCCACGAGTGATAGCGGATGGTGGCACGTGCCCCTCCCCTCCATCGGCCTTGGCACTCATCAGAAATCGTCGGCCTTTTGTCCGGCTCCACCCCCCTGTCGTACGCTGCCAGCTACCAGACAATACTCGTACGTCGAGTAGTGAATGTGAATAGTGCCGGTAAATACGCCAGAGAAGGGGCGATCTGCAGCTAAAATTAGTGCACGATTAGTGCACGACATAAAGACGAACTCGGTTATTAAAAACCCACAAAGTGAGACACTGACCCACGAGGAAATCACGAGACACGTCTAATAACCAGCCAGCACTAACAATCCAAATATGCACCTACCGATAGCATACAACATAATAAAAAGTTAAATGGAAATAGCCCTATCTTTGTCGAGAACACGCAGGATGGACATAACATAGCTCACTAGACTCAACAAACACCTGGGTTCTACAAGACTGCACGCGGGATTTCCTGTAGCATGCCTGTAGGCTGTGGTTCATGATCATAAAAGAACCAGAGGGGCTTCTGAGACAGATGTAACACTCCCAGAAGTGTGCCATGTACATAGTTCCCCAGTCCCATCCGTGGCACCCAGTCCCACCACATGCATGTATGATGTCAGTACGTAAGTACAAGCTCAATAAGGTAGCCACTAGCCGGGAGTTGAGACCGCAGCGGAACTGCGCCGGGCCGAACGTGCGGCTGCCGGGGCCGGGGTCCACCGGGACCGGGGTCCGCCCGTCGCGACCGTGCGACAGATGCATTATCGTGCAGTGTGTACTGTGAACGTTTACCTACTGTCTGCGACTGACCGGCAGCTGGATGTGGTTTCGAGCACCGCAATCAACCATCTGGTGTAAAACAAACTAACCGAAACAGTGCTGCAAAACCAGACTAACTTCTGAGTGTAAGGCCCTAAAAATGGCATTTTTAGTTGTTTCATATTTTTGACGATAGTGCTAACTGCGAACCAGTGAACATTAGTGCAATTTTATACAAGCATTTACCCTTCAAAAAGTTAAAAAGACGAAACGTCGGATTATTTCTGCGTTCGAATTAGCAACGATTTAATGCTTTACAAATTTGAAGGGGTTCATTACTACATACAGCTTTCAGTCCTTCGTAGTTTATCAAGAGGCTCTATGCTATGACTATGAGCACTCATCAGCTTAGTTGCAAGATCTTGTTTGACAGCGCAGGGCGTTCATAAACGAAGTACATCTAGTCAAGGCCATCTATAGAAGGTACAGTCACTCCCCCGCCGACCAATCAGAGACAGATCCTGAGTGACGTCATCCCTGATGCTCGCAAGGGGTACTCCATTCCTTTGCAACGTAAAAATGACTAACTTTATTTGAAGATTATTGATGGCACTCTGCACATACCGCTCAGCCATTGATGTCAATGGAAAGCCCAACTAATTTTCCAGCGACAAAAAAGAGCAGCAATATGCTAAGAAATGGCCGGTTTTGAAGATATAAACGATTTAAAAACCCTCTGCAGCAGCAGGAAAGCAACGTAAAAACGCATCGAGTTTATATTTTTACTATGGATAAATCATTTTTCAGTAAGTTTTTAGATATGGTATAGATTTAAGTTACAACTTCATTACAATATTTTCATTACTTGAAACTTTATTTCAAAATAATATTTTCAAAAATGGCAGCTGTTGGCCAGTAGCTTGGGAGCGATTGTGGCGCACCGCGCCATTAATTGTCCTGAGGCCCCCTTTTGATGTCATCAAAAGTGGAGTGACATGGGCCTGCATCTAGTGTCACATGACAGCATAACATGAGTTATAGATAATTCATATCTTAATGACGAACTCTGTTTAACATTCCCTCCCAATGTCCTAAACGACACCCCGTTTATTTTGAACACTAACTCCTTATAGCGTCTCCTACCCTGCTCTACTGGCGCCATCAGCTGTGCACCATATGGTAGCCGTCTATCGTCCCCCGTCCATCTGCCAGCCTCCTCAACCGGGAGGTCCTCTTCCTGTCACAAAAAAGCGGCGGGCG